TACTAAAAATGCCCTCTTAGAACATGTCCCTGTACTGTTGATTTTACATGCATAAACAGGCCTATCTGAGATGTAGCTGTGGGTTTCTCTCCAATGTCCGCACACTACCCTTTCTTTCAGAGTGTATACTTCTTTCTTTCTCTTAACAAATTTGATCTGAGCCTCACTTTGATCCATCCTCTGGTTCTTTTTTTGTTACAAGATTAAGGACCCTAACGACCCAAATTGAGATCTACTTTCCTTTGTGGAGTCCTTCTCAAAATCACACTAACTTCTTTTAAAATTGCTTTTAAAAAAAAATCATTTGTTCTAAATTTTATGCCCGTGTGACGGCTTACATATGAGATGTTCCCTAGAAGTTTCTGTGTTAATGCAGGAATGTGCAGAGATAAAACCATTACATTATGAGATCGGTAACCTAACCAGTAGATTGTGAAACTATTCAATTATGAGAACTGTACCCTAATTGATAGATTAATCCATTTGATGGATTAATAATCTGAATGGATTAACTGGGTGGCAACTGCAGGTAGGTGAGGCCTGACGGGAAGAAGGTCAGTGGGGGCATGCCTTGGGGATTATATCTTGCCCCCTGGCTCCTCTTTTTCTGCTTCCTGGCTGCCAGGAGCAGCGCAGCTTTCGCCTGCCTTGCCCTTCTGTCATGTCCACCTCACCTGGAACCCAGAGCGATGGAGTCAGCTGTCCATGGACTGAACCTCTGAAACTGTGAGCTAAAATAAACTTTTTCTCCTCTTTGTTGCTCTTGTCAGATATTTATGTCACAGTGAAGAAAAGCTGACTAACACAGTTGGAGACAGCGAAGGGAAAGAATCATATAAAGTCATCCATAGAAGGCCTCAGGCAAGCAATCGTTCATTTTAATTCAAAACTCTACTTACTGTTTTCAGGGATTACACTTGGAAAATGACTCTCCTTATTAATTCTATTTACATTAAAGTAGATGAGCTTATATTCAAACCCCACAAATCTAAAGTACAATCTTAGCACTGTGTTAACCCAGGTGTTTTCACGACTTTTTCCTGGAAGCACCAGAGGGAGGAAGTAATTTCTCAGTCACCCTGAGCAGCACCTTGCTGCCCAGACGCAAACCAGAGCAAAGAAGCCTGCCTCCAGGGTGGCCTCACATGACAGTCCCTGTGGCTTCTTTAAGCTCTCCTACTTGCAAATCAAGCCTAAATTCATTCTTTGTGGCTCATTAGCAAAACATTGGATAGTGGGTGTTTCCATTTGGCTTTTTATGGATCTTACAAAGTCAGTCTGAACTGTTCACAAAGCAATGCCATTTTCTAAAGACTTCTGATGTCAGAATGCTATAAAGAATAAGACAGCCGGAGATCAACATGATACCTGTCCCTTAGTGGATTCCCAAAAGCCTCCTTTACTGGGGGTAACACCGTAGAGTAAGGAGTCCTGCAGAAACTTCTGTGCCACCTCAGGGCTCCTGAGTATCCGTGACAGGTAGATGGTGTCCTACTCTCATTCCTGATGGCACAAATATAACCACACCCCACAGGGCACCAGGGTGCAAACCCCGCTCTACCATGTTACTTGCTTGTTACTTTGGATGAAGTATGGAGCCTCCCTGAGTCTGTTTTCTTTCCTGACCCTGGCAACAAGGGGGAAAAAATCAATCACATAACAAATATTGATGAAATACTATGTAGTCTAGGCAGTCAGTGTTTAAGAAAACAGTGCCCTCCCTCCAAAGAGCTTTCAACTAAGAAGTCAGCATATAGAGAGGGGTATGTATTGGTCAGGAAATGGGCATGTTAGGGAGGGGGCCAGGAATACCTCAAAGAGAAGGTGATTTATGAGTCAAGACCAGAAGGAGCTGAGGAATTCAGTCTTGCAGACATCTGGGGCAATCGCCTTCCATGGTGAAGGAAGAGCAAATGCAAAGTCCCTGCAGCAGGAGCAGTCCTGGTATGTGGGTGGAACAGCATGACTAGGGCAGAAAGGAGAGAAGTAAAAGGAGATGAGATCACAGAAGCTATAAAGAACACAAGATCATCTAGGCAAGAAGTTGACCAACTATGGCTCATGTGTCACATGTGTTATGCCATCTGTTTTTGTAAACAGTTTTTTTTTTTAAGGTGTGGTGCAGATATTCTATAATGTTAATACAAACCCAAATCTTTTTATCTTTATAAGCCACCAACCTCAGGACGTGGACGACGTGTTGTCTCATGATCTCAAAATGATTGCCAATGTTCCAAATGTTACACATTGTATTTCTGTTTGAGACAGAAAAGCAGGGCAGGTAACATCTGTTCTTCTACCAGGAAAGCAAAAGATGTCTTCATCTACTGCCCCTGGCCAGCACGGGCAGCTAAACTAAAGGTCATTCGAGTGAATTTCCTAAGGTATCAAATAAAGCACAGACACACAATTTACCTTTAATTCAAGCCCTGGGTCAGCTCCTCTGCCCTCAGCCTCAAGCTCCCCAAACAGGAGAGTGAGAAAATGTCACGAGAGGCTGGAGAGAGCGAGCTAGCACGTTCGGGAGTGGTATTCTATTGGGGGGACTCCGATTCTTAAAAATTTCCATCCAAAAAAGGTCAAGAGGGACAGGGTTACAAGGTAAAGTAACTTAATCCCTGGGGATGTAGGAAGACACGCCCATGCATGAAGACACATTTGGCAACATTTTTAAGACTCTCAAGATCAGGGCCACCATCTTCAGCCACTGGAAGTGAAGACAGAGCCTCAACCAATCAGGAGAGGAAAATGCTGGTCACATGACATGGGGGCCTCCCACATTTATCCTCCATCAAATCCTCTCTCTCCCACATAATTCCCCCCCCCACTTAGCCCAGAAGTAGATGTTGTGGCACTGCTAGCTTCAAAGGAAGCTGATTGACTGAGATGGATTTTTTCATTCTTTTGACTGTGATACACAGTGAGAAACACATTTTATGTCACAGCCTAATACACACAATTGAAACACAAATAACACAAGCCAAGTTTTAGGAAACACAACTTACAATGTGTGCTGCATACTGATATTTTCTCATCTATTCTTTTAAGTATGAGTCTAAACATCCACTTGATTAATCTCATGACCCATTTTCGGGTTGTATGTATAGTATAAAAAATGCAAGCAATCTTGATCCCTTGCTAGGGCCTGGCATGTTGCTGCTCCAAACAAAGTGACTTCTCTCCTTTCTTTCTCTTTTTTTCCTTCCTTTTTATTTTCCTTCCTTCCTTACTTTCTTTTTTTTTTTTCATTTTTTCTTTTCCAAAGGAGAAGGGAATGGTGAAGAGTACTCACAGTATCTATAGCATTCTATAGCATAAGTGAGGGGGGTGGCAGAGAAGGTTCTATGGAATACTGAAAAGCAAGGTGAGCCCTCCTTCTGAAAGAATAGAGGATCCTGCTATGGATCATGTGAAATGCAAGTAGAAACACCCACTGCCTGGAGGACTCACAGAATTGCAAGATCCCTGATATGAAGCATTAACACAGTGTCTGACATACAATGGGTGCACAGGACACATGGGTTTGCTTCCCAAGCTAAATCACCACTCCAGGCTAGAAGAGCATTCACCGTGACAATGAATCATGCTCAAGTGCTGGGAAACCTTAGGGAAACCAAATATCTCCTGGATGTTCTCTTTACTTTTCCTATTGGAAGTTAATTAATTTTGGGGAAGTTGAGAGGTTGAATTTTATGCATTGGTTTTAAAAACCTTTAAGAAGCATCCGATTATTGTTCTCAGCTTTAATGTGTCTGACTTCTGGGTTGTAGAAGGACAAATGTCAGCAACCACAGGGAACCCTGGACCTGGTAGAGGATGGGTCATTCTTCAAGAATACAAGCAAAGTAGAGATGGGAGAACACCTCAATTGATCATCTTTAGTGCCTTCCCGTTTTTCATGTAAGAAAACAGGCCCAGAAGGGTTGCAACATGGGCAGGATCACGGAGCAAGGCAGTAGATGGCACAATCTCTTTGCTCCCAATTCAGCAGTCCTAACAACCATTAACACAGCCTCACTGAACTGAGGTCCTGGGACCCCTTGACTCAAATCCCTAGTTGAATGTGACACATATACACCTGCATTTTTTAGAAGGTCTCTATCAGATTTTAAAATGGTCCTGTGACCCTGGAAAAATTAGGAAACACAGACTGAGCAAAACTAAAATGACTTATGTTGAGGCTGAGGCCCAAAAGTTCGGAGGTCAGGACTTGGAATGATGAGATAAAACAGAAACTGCTAAATGTTACCATAAGATCCGCTCCCAATCCTGCCAACCCTCACCACAGAAACTGTGAATTCTTCCACTTTCCCTGAATGGCCTGTGGTTTTTCTGTCCTTTCTGCTTCAATGCCCCTAAAGATTAACTTTTTCCTTTCTTTTCCTTTCCTTTCTTCTTTTCATAGAATGAGAGTTATTACATGATACAAAAGTTATTGAACAGGCCATACCAAGCAAATCGCCAGACTGCCACACAGGTGCCCCTTGCACAATAAATAACAAAGGCTCGAGTGTTTATTGATAAGTCCCCCCTCCACTCCCCGCCCCACATTATCCCAAGAAGCAAAAGTAATAGCGGCGCCTGCGCGGCGGCCTTTGTTGTAAACCAAAGGGTCCACATCATCCAAGGGTCCACATTATGCAAGGGTCCCTAGACGCGGTCAGCAGACCCGGTTCTTGGGGGCCAGGTCGAGCTGCTTTTCTTCGCGCATCCTGGAACGCCCTCGGGGACCACAGATTCGGGTCTCGCGGCGCGCCAACCGGTAGTCCGAGGACACCCGGCAATCAGTACTCAGACGTCCCAAACCTTCTCCATTCACCCTCCGGCACCGCCCGGCGCCGGGTCTCCGGGGGTGCCCAGGGCGGAGCTGGGCGGTGCACAAGCACAGTCCCATCGGCCAGTGAGAGGTAAGGGGCTAGTCCAGGACGGGAGGGGAGGGAAGGATGGGGAGGTGCCATTGGCTGGATAGGGGTAAGGGCGGGGCGAGGGGCGGGCCGGGTCCCAGCGCTGCAGAGCCGGGGGACCGCAGGCGCTGCGGGCTCAGCTCCCATGCGGGCGCAGCTCTGGTTGGAGGCTGGGACACGGCTCTGGCAGTGGCTTATGGATGGAGCGATGACTGGACGGTGAGTGATGCCCGGGCAGGAGTGTTAGTGGGCGTCCATGGAGCACCACACCCCCGAGCCCTGGGCTGTCACCCGGCAGATGCGCTGGAGCCTGGGCACTTATGCCCTTTGACCGCTGCGCGCGGAGTCTCCTCCCACTGCCAGCCTGGCGCATTGCGGGCTTCGGGCCCAAAGCTTTCAATGGGCACTGTGCCTGGCACCTCCTTCAGGAGGAAGTCCCTTTAGGAGCTAAGATATTAGCATGACAGGTGAGTGTGGTCTCGGGCTTCACCTGTGCCCACCTCAACCCTCACCTTAGCCGGTCTCCTAGAAGAATAGATCCTAGAGTTGGGAAGAGAGCTTCAGAGCACTTTTGCACAACTCTCTGATTTCACAGATGGAAAACCGAGACCAAAATATAGGCAGAGAGAGGGGCTTGTCTCACAATCGCTATTTGTGGAGGGTTCGCCTTCTACTAGACTCTGTGCTAAGGGTTTCAATACAATATACCACACACTCTGCCGCACTGTGAGATTGACACTTTCATTATCCCAATTTTCAGATGAAAAACTGGGGCTTAAAGAATTACAGAAGTGTCTACCCTTACTCAGAAGAGCCAGTGGTAGAGCAGGAATTTAAACCCAGGGCTGGCTATGCCTTCAGGCCTCCCTCACCCCACCCTCTGGCTTTGAAGCTTATACAACCTGCTTCCCTGCTCTTCCTGTGCTCTGTACTTACATTGCTGAAGGATGCCTTAATGTTATCATGAGTCTGGTATAACCCTGACAAGGGAGGCCTCCTCTCATACCAGGCCAGTGCCAGGCCAGCCAGCACTTTATTAAAACTCAGTAAGCAGAGATTTAGAAACCCCATTTCACATGGAAATTAAATGAGGTCATGCAGCAAGTAAGGCCTGGGATTCTGGAATTCAAACCCAAACAGGTTAGACTCCAAAGTTTGCCACCACAGTGGCAGAAGGGACCCTCACTGTCTTCACTATACTTAGCTGTGTCAATCAAAATCTGTTGTCAGAAATGATAAAAACAAAAAAACGAAAACTGAAAGTGAATACTGTAACCAACAGGTAAATGCAAGTCTGCAGACCTCCTGATCCTTTGTGTGGTTCCTAGGCTACTGTCACTGGGACTGGAGGTTCTAGGGAAAAGAAAGGAGTATGCAGAGGAGAGAGGGAGAGAAGAGAAGATGAAATGCATTGCAAATAGGTGAAAAAGTTGCTGGCTAGAAGTTGTAATGGGGTGCATTTCACCACTTTGTCAGTGTATGATCAGTTTGTCTTTATTAGTTCTAGTCATAATTCTGTGTGTAGTGTGGTGTTTCCAGACTTGTCATTGAAAGCAAGGTTGATGCACAGATTAAAGTGTCCATCTGAACCCCAGGAGCCTCTAGTGGTGGGGTACCTGGAGGTAGAGAACAGAATTAAGGTTCAGTATCACCTTGGGTCAGGGCCACCTGGATCATGGCAGATAAAAAGCATGAACAGAACTTGGGTGTGTGTCATTCTATTAATGCAAAACCTCAGATGGCCTCTGTGAGGCCATCCAGGCTGCAGCCCTGGGGATCTGATTCTGGTTTCAGGAGTAAACTCAGCCTATTTCCTCACTCATAGTCACTTTTGCAGGAAGATAACTCATCCTCTTTGAATTTCACATTCCCATTTCCAGATCCTTATTGTTTCTCTGGAGCTCCTAGAACTCCTGACTCCCAATGTCAACAGTGATGTTAATGGGAGCTTCTATTTATTATAGATGAGTCCATACTATGCCCATCTGAAAGGTCTCATTTGCCTTCATAAAATTCATCTAGAATTATAATTATTTGATAAATGAGAAACCAGAGAGGTTCAGAGGGGGAAGGGAACTTGCCAGGGGTCATACAGCCAGAGAAACACAGAACAGAGCTTTGAGCTCAGCGTATTACAAAGGTTGAGAGGTTATCTTCTCACAGAGTACACTGAAGAAAATATTTTGAAATTGTTTTAAAGTAAATTAACATCAAGTAGGAAGTGGGTGCACTTCCCAAAATTTCTGTAGTTTTCTCATTTCTGCTAAAGGGGAACTTCGAGTTTCCTAGGTCTCCTTTTCTGTGTCCAGCCTCCTTCCCCAGCATGTACAACTGATGGAAATCTCTTAAACTCCCTCTCCTTGATTTGCCTGGCCTTGGAGAACACAGATGGGATGTCACAGAGCCCAGGAATGCACTGCTGGGAAGAGTCCTGAAGATGTTCTAGTCCAGCTACCACTAGGATCCAGGCCCAGAGATGCACTGCCTACTGAGGTCATATACCAAGTCGATGCCACTGCAAAACATACGCATCTCTCTGATGCTCCTCTGCCTCCTCTTTTTCTTGCTCTGACACATTTCAGTACAGATTCTCAGCCTGGGATCTAGGGATTCTAGGGATACATGAAAGCAGTCTCCCTGACCCTTTTTCAATAGTATGCAAGTTTAGTGTATATGTGTGCACACATACATACGTTCAGTTTTTTAAGGAGAGTGTGGTAAGTTTTCAAGAGACTCATAAGGACTCCATGAGCCAAAAAATTCTGAGATCCACTGTGCCTCCCAGGGAACCATTCCCAGCAGCTTCCTGTGGTTCACAGCCTGGGGCAGAGGTAGCACGGGTAGGACAGCTATGGAGATTGCCCAGGGCAGCCAGGCTGCAAGCACTTGGTGGCAAGAGCTTAGAGGGTCTGCCCTTCTGCTCTGCACCCCTGGCCCCAGACAGTTGGGATGTTGTCTAGCTACCATACTAAGCACCTGGTTAACCCAAAAGCTATGTCTTGGGAGGATCTTTCTTTCCAACAAATCCCCTGTTCTACAGACAGGAGGATTTGTTGGAAAGAAAACCTGGAATAAGAAAGCCTTATTTGTGGTGGGGGACACAGAGCCAGGGAGTTTGGGTATTAAGTATTAAGAAGGGACAGTAAGATTGGAAATGGCTTTCTTATTCCAGGTTGCTGTGACTTGCAAACAAGGGCAGAAAACAGAACCCAGCCCTGGGAGTCTGGGGGAGGGCCATCAGGAAGCATTAGGAGGATGGCCAGTCTGCTGCATGCATGGGGGACAAAAATCTGGCTTTTCAGAGAAAGGGGAGGTCCAGGAATCTGAATGGGCTCAGAGAAATCCTTCAGGGGAAGCCCAGGACTGTGGAGGGTTAGGGATCCAATAGAAAAGAGCTGGTTTGATCAGCCCAGAGTTAGGCAGGGAGTGGAGGGAGCAATGGCTGCATCTGCCTCTCCTGCACTTCCCAGGCTTCTGTCACTTCCATCGGACCCCTGTGCTGCATCCTCTAGTGCTTCCCAGCTGGCGCAACTGGAGCTGGGTCAGGAGGCTGAACCAGAGGTGGGTGATGGTAGGGGTGGAGAGGGAGGGAGGGGGGACATTGAAAGTGAACAGCAGGAGAGAACAGCAGCTGCAAAACACTGTTTTGCACACTTGAACAGCTGGCTTTTTTAGCAAAATCCTGTTGCTAAGGGGCAGCCTGCTGTCCAGCCAGACCCCCTTAGAGGCAGCTGGCTTCTTCCCGTGGCCAACCTCCCGCCATTTGCTGGCTAACAGGTGCAGGGAGGACCCTTTTAAAGATTCATTGTTTTCAGAGCCTCCCTGCTGCCCTGGATGATGTTTGGAAGTTGTGGCCAGGGCTGCAGAGGAGCAGAGGACTCAGGCTTCCCAGGAATGCAGGGTAGAACAGCCTGCACCCAGTTGTGCCCCTCCATCTGGCCTCCTTTCCTGTGCTTCCCAGGTCACTTTCTTTATTACCTGTTTGATTTCAGTCATGCTCAAGTGAGAAACTAAGAGCTGTGATGTCATAAAATGTTAGAACAAAGGTAACCAAGAGGTAATCAAGAGGTAATCCACTTAGATTTCACTGGTGCTAGCTTTGAGTCTTTTAATTTGGATGTATTATCCATATTGCCAAGAGAGGACCCCAACACCTATGCAAAGAAGACAGTACATCATCTTACTGTAAGAGGCTTTCAAGGGCACACAGTTTAGTTTCCTGAAAATCCTACTTCATTTGGCTCCTTTTTCTCCTTTTACAATTGACCTGTAGAAACTGGGCCCCAGTGTTTCCCTGAAGAATCACAGAGTCACCTTCTTCTGTAATAACTAGCCCCAAGACTGCAAAAAAAGAAAAGAGGGCCCAGGCTGGGTAGTTGTAAAGGCCTCCCTGGCCTTTGTCCCTCCATAGCAGGCTGTCTCTGCACGGCTGGCAGAGCAGCCGCTGAAGTGGAAAGTGAAAACAACTCACTGCTTGTTCACTGAGGACAGGTAGCCTGGCTGGCACACCCGTGCCCCTGGGGGCCTCTCCTCTGAGGAGCCTGGGAAGCAAGCTTGGAGGCCTGAGTTGTGTGCCCTGGGGCCTGGGGCCAGGGAGCAAGCCAGGACAAAGAAGGCTGCTGGGGGGAGGGGAGGCGCCCTCAGGCAGGCCAACTAGGCCTGTCCAGCTGCATCTGTCACTCTGTGTTTTGCAGACTGTGCCTGGGTGGCAGGCCAGCCTTAGCCTCATCCTTTCTGGGCTCAGGCTTCTGCTTGCACCTAAGCATCCTTTCTTGAATCGACTTGTGCTTTCATTGGGCTTCTGCCTTTTCAAGATTGTGCTGTTATAGAGATTGAAAAAACAGTTTTTCAGAGATATTCAGAGGCCTTGCCCAGGGCACAAGGAGATTCAATGCATGGAAGGCAGTCTAAGGAAAATGTTCCAAATGGAGATACATCCCCTTTCTTCTCCTGCTGGGTGTTACCTTCTTTCCCACAGTTCTCATTCAATGTCATTTCTTGACATTTCTTGACTGTGTCTTAGATACTGTTTGAAACTCACCAAGACCCAGAGTGAGAGAATGAATGAAAATCAGCTCCACCCTCGATCTGGTATAGCAGCAGACACAGTGTTTTCATTTGAGCAGAATTCTGCCAGCCATTCCAGAGAGAGAGACTCAGGAGCTCAGGGAGACAGGTTTGTGTTGCACGCTTCGGATGGAGGCATGTGAGAGCCAGAGAGACCAAGTGACTCAAGTAAAGGCCATGCAACTGATTAAAGTCAGAGGATACAAATGCATGTATGGTTCTCTTAAAAGAGAGACTCATTTTCTGTGAGACTAGAATTCCTGTCCCATAAGATGCATGGCCCAGTCCAGCAAACAGAAAGAGCCCTGTTACTAAAGCGGGCCCCGTCACACCTCCCAGCCTTGCTCACTATCCTCTCTGCCCTCCCATGGGATGGTGTCCCATCCTCCATCCCTGCCAAGCTTGCCTGTTTATCCTATAAGCCCATCTTCCCCTTTCTCCCCTCACTTTGCTATCTGCAGTCTAGGGCCCTCTTTAACTTTCCTCCTGATTCTTTCTCTGTGCAGTGGATGTCACACCACCTCAGCTAGAGACTGAGCACACTGGCCATGTCCTTACATAAACAGGCCCTCAGAGGCAAAGTACTCCTAAATGCTAGCCAGGGAGGCCAGTGCTATCCAAAAAGGAAATCTTGGTGCTCTAGTGGATGGGGCTACATGACACACACCTTACTGTCAACCAAAGCAGCTCCTTTTAGTATGATTTGCATAAATTTTTCATTTGAACAAAAAAATCTACAATTAAGAATATGTCAAACATATTGGAGGTCAATATTCTTTATGGTACAGATGGGAAAATTAAGTCTCTGAAGGAAAAAGCATGCATATAGGTCTTAGCAGCTCCCAGCCCAAAGCTTTTTAGGAAATAACTTCTATTAATAAGAAACCACCATCTGACTTATAGGAAAATTTTACTTTTGGATGTTTCTACTACATACAACAAAATGCTGTGGGAAAATCAAAGTATTGTAGAGTTTTGTCATGAGTTAGAAGATGAAAAACTAGAGCCCCACTAAATGCATCTGTCTCAAAAGTGTGTTAGGTCTGACTATATTCCTTTTGAAATATATTTAAATATAAAATATTCAGTTAAATGTATATACCATTTTAAATTTACTGCATTAGTAAGGCTAGGGTGGGTTATGGTGCAATAACAAATCTCTGAAATACCAGTGGCCTATCCCAGAGATTTATTTCTCTTTCCCATTGTATATCTGATGTGGATCAGCAGAAGGCTGTGATTCAGAGTCACTCAGGGACAAGGGCTTACTATTGAGTAACTGTGCCAATTAGAACAAGTGGCTTTCTCAGTAATCACGTTAGGAGACAGGTGTTGGTTCTTAAATGCATTGGCCTGGAAGTTCCCATAACACTTCTGTTTGTAGCCCATGGGCCAGAGTTCATCACATGACCCGACTGAATTGCAGGGTCTGGGGAAGGTTAGCAATCACATGGTCCTTTCAAGAGCAGTAAATACCTATAATCACTTGACTTTAAACAGTGGAATATAATCCTAACAATTCAGATTTCTGGGTTCCTATCAAACCAGATGATCTATACCTTTGAAGGAGTAATATGTCCCCAATTTCTCATAGATTCTGTGTTTCTCAACTAAGTCACCTCCTTAGTCCCCAGATGCTGTTATATTTTTTATCCTGCTATGTATGCACAACTCTGGAGGAGCTGACTTAATGGGGAGTCTGTGGATCTTCTTGTAGTAATTCAGTCATTCAACAACAACCATTCAGCCTCTCTTGATGTGCCAGGCTCTGCTTGGGGCTGGAAACCAGTAGTAAAGTAGAAAAGCTTTGCTACCACCTCACCATACTCCTGTGCTTCTGTGAGTTTTGGAACAAGAGGCATGGCCCTTCAGGGCCCAGCAGGGTGGGAAGTCAAGAGGTGGTACCTGGGTAAAGAGGTGCTGCACCTATCCTGACAGAGGGCTGTTTGGGCAAGGGTTTCTTAGAGAGCTAGCATCAGAATATTGGAGGAGCAGCAGGCTATGTTCTGATTAGAAACTGTGAATGTACTAAAGGAGGAAAAAGCTTGGCACCCACTGTGAGCTGCAATCAACCCAGCAAACCTGAGGCTCAGAATAGGAAGTGGGATTGAGGCTGGATATAGAGGAAGACAAGAGAAAAACCCACCTGCAGTTGTTTCTTTGTGAATCCAGCCCTTCCTACAATAAGCTTTCTGAAAAATATGGCTGGACCTTGTACCCACAGAAAGTATCAACCCAGACGCCCAGACTCAGGGCAGCTCCTGCCCCACAAGTGTTTGAGGAACTACCCAAACATGCAGCTGGCACATCACTTTTTCCATAGGCGAGCTGAGGAGCTGAGGAACTGAAACCCTATTTTGAAACCTCTGCTGCCTGACCAAGAAGAAGGCAGCAGGGTGTCCCCAGCTCCAGGTCTCAGTGGTGCCATAGCACTGTGTCCTTGTGTAGGTGGGGGGTCTGCCTTACTTTAGAGCAAGGCAAAGGGAGTGTTAACTGGATGATGCTGAGGTCATTGGCAAGCTCACCTCCCTCAGATCATTTCCCTTCTCCATGCTAGTTGTATTTTCTCTGCTTCTGCAATCAAATATTCATTCCCAACACAGAGGATGGGTTCATGATATTTGTGAGAGCAAGGAGGAAGAGAACTTGCTTCGGTCAATATCAGTGTCAGAGGGGACAGAATATTCTGCAGTGTCAGGCCCTGAAATCATTAATAAATATAACAGAAGTTGGGCCTGACCTTGAGCTCCCAGTAACATTTGCACACACACAGCTCAGCTTGATAGGCTATGATGGATTCATCTCAACAAATGTTGGGGGTTTTTGAATAAGCTGATCTCTGTGGTGGAAGGACATAGAATGCACCCTGGCTGTGTTACCTTCCAGTGTCACTCTACCCCTTTAACCCCTAAATGCAACTGGGAAAGTATGAAAAGAGAAAAACTTTTTTTTTTTTTTGGTGGACACAACATCTTTGTTTGTATGTGGTGCTGAGGATCGAACCCGGGCCGCATGCATGCCAGGCCAGCGCACTACGGCTTGAGCCACATCCCCAGCCCAAGAGAGAAAAACGTTAGCTCATTCCCCAGCATGTAGGAAGCCTTGATAAGAAAGGATCCTCAGCCAGAATGTAATCCTCATCTGTAGTTTTGTTTTCTGTGATTTTTGTTACCCAGGGTCAATCTTAGTTGAAAATACTGTGGGAAAAAAAAATGCAAAAAGGAAGCAACACTATTCTGAGTAGCATGATTAAATCTCATCATCCCACTTCTTCCCACACAGACATGAGCCATCCCTTTGTCCAGTCTCTCCACACTGTGTATACTACCTGACCATTAGTCACTTAGTAGTTGTCTCTGTTTTCAGATCAGCTGTCATGGAATCACAGTGATTGTGTTCAAGCGACCTTTATTTTATTTTATTGCATGGTTCCCAGATGTAAGAGTAGTGATAATGGCAATTCAGGTATGCTAAAGAGAATCTTTATAGTACTTTCTTTAAATGAAAAAAGTTCTTGACTTGATAAGGGAAAAAAAAATGTATAAAATGTTGCAAGGATCTATAGTAAGAATATATCTTCTCTTCATGAATTGTGGAGAAGGGAGAAGAAATTCATCTGGCTTTTTTTTTTTCCTTTTTTCTTTATTACACCTAAAACTATATAAGTTAGGCCACAGCCTTGACTAAGTGCTTAGTCAAGCTGGAAAAGGGATTAGATTACAGTATTCAATACTATCACAGGTTTCAGGAATCCCCTGGGGATTTTGGAATGTATCCTGTATATGTAAAAGGGGTGTGTGTGTTATTATAAGGGGAGATAGAGAAGTAGAAATCTGGGCAACATACCAGCAAGATAGAGAAGACTCTCCTGATTTACCCTCCATGAAAGGGTAATCAGGCTGGGCTTGAGAAGCCCTTTAAACCTTTTATAGTATGGAGAGGCACACAGATAGCTTCACATGATAATCCGCTACTCATCCTAAAGGCTAGATATGAGCCCACTGCACAAAGGAGAAAAGGAAGCTGATGGTGGTGGGCGAATGCTAAATCCCTGCCCAAAAGCAATATAGAGAAGAGGTTAAGAGACAAGAATCGGAGGTCCAAGTGCTTTGTGTTCAGATAGTGACTTTGCTTCTTGTTTGCCAGGTGATCTTAGGCAGCATGCTTCACCTCTGTCCCTGCTTTCTTATCTATAAAATGGGAATATGTGATCCCTACTTCATAATGTTGTTGTAGGACCAGGTGATTCCTAGAAAATGCTCAACAGTGTCCAGCATGCTGTGAGCACTGTACTGAGTAACCCTGGACTTGGAGAACAGGCCCAGGGGAACTGACTCCCAAGGCAGTGCTGGGGGCACTCTCCAAGCTTAGTGGGAAGGGAAGAGAGATCCAGGGTGGCTTTGAGGACTTGGGGAGCAGCCAAGACAGACGCCATCATTCAGGGTGTTGCCACCAAGGAAAGAGAGCCACATGGCATGAAATGGTGAGAAAACTGTTCCAAATTCCTAAAGATCATGGAGTTTTTCAGAGTGGGGGGACTCCATCCTCTGGGCCTGATTCTTTCAACTATAGTCACCCTACACTTGAACAGGTCTGAAGCCAAGGTTACAGGCCTCTGTGCTGGGGCCCCAGGTGCTAGAATATACTAGGTAGAACTCTTCCTGGCTCACTTGTCTGTGAACCCTCCCTCATCTTTCCACCAGGTAACTTCCAGGTCTGCAGACAAGAGAAGATGAAGGAAGAGTGTCCATCCAGCTCTCACGTGCCCATCAGTGACAGCAAGTCCATCCTTAAGTAAGCTTTGGTGTGCGGTAAAGGAGATTTTGCATCTCCTTTTGGCACCTCCCTGCATGGCAGCCATGTGGAGGGATGGGGGACTTTTTCAGAGATAGAATATGTGCCCTAGGGACAATGGTGGGTGCTGTGTTTTGAGGCCTGTTTCTTTGGAGATCAGTGTACCCTTCAGAGTGGAGGTTTGAGCCCAACCTCCTAGAATTCACAAAACCAGGAAGGCAGAATGGTACCCACTGGGGTTCCACAGGGACTACGTTTAATTTATTTACAAACTAGAAGGATACTAACACCCTCGCTAAGTTGAATGGTTAAAAAACTCAAAACTGGTTTTGAGTTTTTAGTAAAAAAAAAAAAATGAGTTCTTAGTTAAAAAGTATTTCATTGATGTATTTTTAACTTTGCTGATTTCTATTTACTTTCATGAAAATATTGGGGATATTTTCTCAATCCATTTCTGAACTGAAGTATCTTTTTCATTTTGTCTTCCATTTTGAGTCCTGAGTCCAAGTATTTTCTGATATTTTCACCCTGCCAACTTGAAGGTGAGCCAACATCCTTGAGATGATTAGCTTTTGCTGAGGACCTTCCCCCAGGGGTCCTCCCAGGAACAATCCAGGAAACACACATCGTTATGTAACATCATTGCTTCTCTTTGCATTATTTTTTATTTAAATTTTGTAATAAGAGCAATGTAACAATATAATCTAAAAAGTCATAAAAACCTTAATCATGATTAAGTTCATGTAAATATGTATTTACTAATAATTTTATGCTCAGCATTTATCTCCTACACAATGGAGATGTGACACTGAGTCCTGCCTTCTTAATACCATAAGTTTATACATTGCTTCCCCTATCAGTTCCCATCATGTCCACGTCACATACAGACCACAGACTCAGGCCCTAGAGCAGGTTCTGCTGTCCTCCTTTTGTGTTGTTTGCATGTGGTGGGAGGCACTGCCTGAAAAGGAGCCAGAACCTTGGGCTCCTGCAGGGGAACCTTACAACTCATAAAACTGGCTGGGCAGGTATGGTTCCTAGACCCTCCACAGGGAAAGCACTTTGGCAAAATAAAAAGAATGTATCGGCTTTCACCAATAAATTTTGAATTGATTCTGCTGATAGTATAACAATTTAGATGTTCTGGGTTCAATAAATGTGCGATCGCTACTAATTTTACCTGTTTTGTTTTCCCTTTCAATGTGACTACTAGAAGATTTAAAATTGTCTGTGTAGCTGCATCTTGTGTAGGTTGTCCTGTGCTGCCTTGCATAGCCTTTTCAGGTGTGAAAGCTATCCTGGTCTTCTCTGTCCAGCACATCTGTCAGGGCACTGTCACTTTTCCTTTTTAGTGGGAGAAGTATATGGGTGAAGTGGGCCATCAGGATCTGACTCTCAGCCTGTTATCTTCATGCTTTGATTGTTCCTCTGGAAAGTCAAGATGGGCAAGAGGCAGGCACCCCTCCTGTTCTCTCTGCAGAAGCCACACAGGGCCTTTATAGGAATCAATACCAGGAAAAAGCATGAATCTTGGAAATGCCAATAATCCAAGCCCGGGGAATTCCTCTGAGGAAGTGACAAGAGGTAGAGCACAGGGAAGCTGTCAGGGACGCTGATCTGTGATACTGAAAGTACACCTACCCTAGATGTCCTTGGGAGGTTGGCGCCTACCTGCAAGTTTCGCTTCTTTCTGAGCTCCCTCGCCTAGAACATTCCTCTTTCCACAAGGGTCCGTATGCTGGACCTTCTGGAAGATGAAAGGATTGGTGTCACGGTGGCACCGTCAGGGCTCTCTACTGATCATATGCAACTGGCAAAATGTGTGTAATCATGACCATTTTATGAGGGAAGAAACTGAGGCTAGTGAAGCCAAATGTCTTGTCTGGGTCCCCACCATGCCCCAAGTGTATGTGTGTGTCTTTACCTTTCAGGTCGGAGCTCTTGAGCCTGCTGAAAACCTACAACTGCTACCATGAGGGCAGAAGCTTCCAGCTGAGGCACCGAGAGGTGAGGCCGGGAGGTCTTTTTTGTTCACAGGGTCACGTCATTTATGCTGGCTTGCCGAAGACAGCCTTGGCCCACACCTGTTTTTTTCCAGGGGAATTATGATGACTATTCCCTTTACTCTGAATGTCCCAGTTTGGATAATAAATTATATGATGACTCTGTCACTTTCTGGTCAGGGACCAGGTTACCAGCCAGCAAAATAAAGTTGGAACATTCCCTGTAAAAATTCAGAGAAGATAGGAAGCACTTTCGTATCTTTTCCCTCCACCTTTGTCCAGGTAAACTGATGGGACAATGGTGTCTGAAGTCTCAGAGACTGCCTGGCCTATCACACTGCTCAGTGGAGGATACCAGGGAAGAGTCAGTCCCTCTTTTTTTCCCTACCAACCCAGCCCAGTATCCCTGCTCTTCTAACCTATGTCCTTAGTGCTCTCATTTGTAAAGTGAGGTATTTGGGCCACCCAGGGTTATAAGTTCATATGGTTGCAGGGCCTTACAGGCTACCCATGGGGAGTAGGTCCAAACTGAGGTTAGCAGCTACCCATCAGATCCAGCCCATGGCTGCCGTGCAAGAATTTGGGCCTCATTCAGCCAAACCTCTTCTATTTTTCCAAAGCAACTAGATGTCTGGAACTTCAGCAAGAATTTCCCAAATCTTAAAACATCATAAAGGCTTAAGAAAACATGTCCAAGGTCAAATGCAGCCTCAGACACCAGTTGTACTCCAGGGCTTGTACTACAGGACCCAGGCTCAGTAGCCATTTGAGGGAAGATGAAGCAGAGCCTGGTCTTCCACCAGAATCTTCAGACATTTTACACAGGAGTCACAGCTTTGTACTCCTATCTGGGTCTAATTTAGTGCATTGTATAGCTTAATGGTGAGTCTTACCATATTAAGATTTTATTTGGGGAGTTTCCATGTTGAGATCCTGTTGGCCACCTGTACATTCTCCATCTCTCGGTGACTGACAAGGGCCTGTGAATGTCCAGTCGCCTTTCTGCTGTCAAACACAGAATAGGAAACTCAAAAGAGACTTCATCAGAGTGGAGGCCACTGACTCACTAATTCTCCCTCATATTAATCATTCATCAGTCCACATCCTTCTTTAGGCAGCAAATGAGAGTGAGCCAGATACACAGTTAGACACCCGAGGCACTCTACAGACCATGCCAGAGGTCACTCTCTTTAGCCTCTAGTTATGTAGGCTATATGGCTGGGGAGCTTTAGGCTCCTGAATCAGGAAGGCTGGGTGGCTTATGACCACCTGGAATGGCTCAAGCCTCACACTCCACATTCCTTTGATGTGCCCTCCTGACTTGGTGCTTTGGCACTGGCCCCAACACTTGTCCCCCTCTCTATGTGCACCTCATTCTCTTTCCTCTTCCAGGAACTCTCTCTCCAACACCTCTCTTACCTGATCTGCTCCCAGACTACCCTGTCCACACCCAGCTCCTTACTGCCACTGTCATGGCTCTAAACCCACCACCTTGCTAGAGTAGGTTCTGCTGGCTCTTTTCTTACCTGAGCAGTGAGCCCCTTGGAGCTGGGTCTGAGCCTCACTTGGTTCTGGCCTTGGTTCCCCAAACCCACGGGACCAATGTGTACCTGTGTGTGCATAGCTGTTGGGTGACCAGCCACAGATACAGGCCTGGAGTGAGTTGGAATGAGAACAGAGTCCTGAGCTCCAGTGTGCTGGGCAGTGGGGAGGGACAGGGGGAGAAGGATGTGGCCAATGGGGTCAGAGGGCTTTTGGTCTTTGACCTGTACTGCTAAGTGAGGAGTTGGTTCCCACTTCAGATTGCTGATAGAGGCGGGGGGTATGTTAAGATTATATACCTGCTGGGCTTCCACTTTTCAATGCAGAGCCTTTCAGGAATTGATCCAAGATCCTGGTTGTTCTCCTTGTGAGGTTCCTGTACCAGCAGTTTCAGCATCACCTGGAAACTGGTTAAAAACACATTCTTACCACCCCCTCCCCCAGGCCTGCTGGATGAGAAACTCTTGGTCCTCCCAGCTGGAAGGGTTTTAACAAGCCCATCAGTGCATTCTGATGAAAGGTCAAGTTTGGGAGACATCAGAAGAACTTGGTTTTGGCACCTGGGATTCCCCAAGATAATCCCCTCTGTGGGAACAGCCATGTGGGGGGCAGGACTGTGAAGTACTCCTCTATTGGTCTTACCCTGGGTGTGCGGGACAGTCCAAGAGGAAAAGTGGGGGGGGGACTCCTCAGCCCCAAGGAGCATTTCTGACAGCCTGCAGTGGTAGGAAGTTAACTCACAGCAGGGGGTTTTCAGGTCCCTAACCCCAAAGAGGATGTGAAGATCTAACCTGATCTCCATAGAGCCAGAAGTACCTTTCAGGAGCTTTCTGCAGGCCTGATAGACATGGGGGTGCCAGTGTGAGTGAGTGTCTTTTTAGGGTAACAAACCATAAAGATAAGGCCAAGGGCTGGGATTGTGGCTCAGTGGTATAGCACTTGCCTAGCATGGGTGAGGCACTGGGTTCGATTCTCAGCACCACATATAAACAAATAAATAAATGAAAGTCCACCAACAACTACTAAAAATATTTAAGAAAAAAAAGACATGGCTGAAGGTTTGGGGCTCAGCATTATTATACTGATAAGGATGCCAGGTTCTAGAGCATCATGCCTCTTAGGGTCTCTCTGAGTCTTTGTGATATCTCCACCAACCATCTCAAAGATTGCAGATCTGATACTTCCTGGGCCTCTGGGATCACCCACTCTCAGGCACTTGCTGTAGGGCCATCCCAGGCTGACATATCCTTGAGTAAAACCTCTAAGACTATAATATAAGAGTTTCGTCCCATGGGAATGACTATTTTTCTTGCAAAGAAATTCCATCTCTCAGAGATTGTCTTTAGTCCAAAGTCACTTTGAAGCAAATAAAAGATGTCAGCAAGGTTCTGAAGTCTGAGCAAAGTTGTTTATAATATAGCAATTCCATTTCTGACCCTAAGGTTCAGAGGTCTTTAGAGGTCACTACTGAGTATCACTGAACAGATCCTGGGAATACAGTGCTGTTTGTAGCCCTTGATCCCCAAGCTAAGGTGCCTTTGGGCTGCAAAAGGGCTTGCCACCCAGGTGTGTTCTCCTAAAGCCAGACAGTGTACTGAAAGAGACCTCCTGCATATTGTCACTGGGCCTCCCTGGTAGCACTTGCAGCCTGGGTGCTACACTTAGGAGGCACTGTCTTCTTCCTGTGTCTGCAGAACTTGGAGAGATGAGGTGCTTCTGTGGGCAGGGACCATACTCTGGGGCAAATGTTTCCTTGTGACCCTTTTCCAGCTTCCTTAGGGTGAAGGCATAGATTCCTTTCTCTGGAGGCTAAGATACCAATGAGCTTTGCCTTTGGGATGATTTTGTTTGTATTGCAATGAAAAGTATAAGCTGCTGAGAGAAATTTGTGCCTTTTGAAGATGGCAGTTTTAAGTAGACTGACTGGTGTCTCAGAAGAAAAGCTGACTACCTGGAAATACCTGTATGTAAACCTATCACTCTAGACTTCACAGATTAAGAGGCAGGTTAACTCTCTCCAAACTGTTGCCTGGTCCACAAGCCTTACTCCCAGTTCTCAATGGGCTTACAGGCTCCCCCTGACGGGCATGAGCATTTACTACACCCTATCTAATTTAGGACTTCACAGGCCTTGAGCAAGGTGACAGAAAGAGCTTCTCTATCTCCTGTGCTGAAAGACAGGAGCCTTTCCTAGGAAGGTTGCCCCATCCCTCTCCTAAGCACTGGAAGACCACTGAACCCTGAAATGAGTAGCTGGCCCCTTGGACAGCTGTTCCTTGGGAGCTACAAAGGGCCTTCCCAGCCTGCTCCTTAGGGAGGATCTTCAGTCCCAAACCCTCTGGTTACTCCAAAAGCCAGGAATCAGGAGAATGTGATTGCTCAACAGGGGCTCCCACCAGGAGTACTTAGCATAAAAGGAATTCTGGGATGTTCTGTCTTCCAACAGCTTGGGACACTGCCAGAAATCCCTCTTCCAGCTTTTTAATTCAACTGCTGGTTGGAGAGCACTTTTTGAAGGTGCCATTAACTTATTTCACATCAAGGATTATTTGAAGAGTCAGAGTCCAGGCATCCACTCACTCCATTTGACCATCCCCCCACCGTGACCCCTTGCAACACTGTGGTTTCTGACCATAAATAGGTTATGAAGTTCCACCAGAATGTTGTACTAGTGGCCAGTTACCCACAGTGGCCCAGTTTTCATGCTGCCTTGCAGAAGGGGCTTCAATGAGGGTGGCCCAGCAAACCTGGCTTATCTAGTCCCTAACTAGGAACCCACTGGATAGGACATCCCCCTGCCCATCACTCCTGAGGACATTATAGCTAAAGAACACCCTACATATATTAATAGCAGGTCAGGGACCCACAGGTTGGAAGTTACGGAAGAGACCCAGCAGGCTGTGATAGATGCAGACATGTGTAGTTGGTGCTTATCATTCCATCTCCAAGTCCATTTGTCTAGTTTCCCAGCCCCTGTAAGGACAGATGATGGGGTCCCCCACTGTACAGATAAGGAAATTGATGAAATTACTTGTGTGGAACTATTTCTTTTTGGTATGTGGTTTATATTCTGCCTTCCCAGAAAACCCACAAACAAGGATAGATAAACATTTAACAAATCCAAAGCAATTAAACTAGACATACAAACACAAATGAAGAAAGAAAGAAAACAGATTGACAGTTCACCAAGCAAGATGATAGAGGAGATTCTGTCTTGGCTTGAGCTTGGCTGTGGGCCCCCACTCCTTTTCTCCTTTCTCTCTGCCACTCCATCTTGACCAGGGTCACGCAGCACAAGAGAACACAGTGATAGGTCTTTAGTCATGATTCTTTTCAGTTATCTGAAGCCATATACGTCTCTGAGGACGGAAATCCACCCCCATTCCCTGTCCTTTTCCTCATGCTCACTAGATACCTCCATCAACTGGGGTTCTCCAGGGTGTGGGAACCCAAAGCTGACCTGTGTTGGACAGAGTCTTAGGACATATGAACTGGCTGGAGATGATGTGGGTAGGGGTAGGGACCAGGCCAATAGGTCCAAGCATTTGGCACCCTGCGGGTTGAATGGCACAGAGTCTGTCTTGGCATGGGGACCTTCCCAATGCCACAACAGGACTTATGTATTGGAGCCACCAGGGTTCCCCCAGGGTGCCCAATGACAATTCCCCCTGGGACACAGTGGTGCATTTGTTAAAATTCCATGTTTTATGTTGGTCCACATGAAACAAGGGCTCTGAGGGTAGGGACCAAGAGTCTGACTTGGGTATGTCCAGGGCCTTGCTCTGAAGTCTCTTGGGAGCTGAAAGCCCCATCGCCAAGCCCTGCCCCCAATTTCCTCATCTGTGACTGCAATAGCTACCCAGAGTACGGGCTCATATTTGTTTACTCATCGGAACAGCCTGAAGGCAGGTTCCATCAGTTATGCTCATGTTACCCATGAGAAAAACAAAGAACAGAGACACAAGTCACTTGCCCAAGGTAACAGGCCAGTAGGGAATAGAGCAAATGGCATCCGTCATGTCTCCTCATGTGAGACAGGCTGTCATCACTCTTCAGAGTAAGGGTGCTTCTCACTGTGAATTGCTAGAACAGGCAGCTCTTGCATGAAAGCATTTCCCTCCCAAAGACCTGCCAGGGACAGTGTCCACCGTAAGGGAGGAAGGGTGGGGAGGCAATGTGGACCCAGCACACTCTTTACAGAAGCCTTTATTGGGGAGAGGTCAGAGTTCATGGATCACAGGGAGGTGCAAGTAAAGACTTCTGAGAATACTACTTGGGCGGGGGTTGCAGGGGGAGGCTGTGGCCCGACCTGGCTGCCCAGAAGCCCAGTTATTCAGGTTGGAGCTCTGGTGCACATCCTGTGATGGTCTTGTCAGAGAGTGTCCAAATGCCCTGGCTTCAAAGAGCCTCCTTCTGGGGGACCCACTGGGCTTGCCACTGTTGGCCTCTCTGTGTGCACGCCAGTGTCCTGCAGAGGGGCCAGTTCTTCTGAGCAGGTCCCTCCTATTTGTCTCATTTCTCTGAGACTCCCCAAAGATCCAGTCCAAAGGATCAGTAGTGCCAGCAGAGGGCAGTGTGGACTGCTGACCACCGAAGCTGGCAGTGTTGTCCTGTAGGGATGCTGCAGGGTGACTTTTCTCACTGGACCGGGGTGACCTGTGGGGTCTGCTGGGTCGGCTTCTGGCTGTGACCTTGTCAAGCAAAGAGGTGGGCTGTGCCAGTTGACAGATAGACCTCACATAGTCATCCAGGCTGGGAGAGGCTGGGGGATCCTGCCCAGTTCCCCCCGGCAGGATCTCCTCTGAAGTCTCTCGAATTGTGGGCAGGTGGGCCACAGAAAGTAGAAGGCGGGACCTCATTGCTTCTAGTAAAACAGAGGGAGCAACCTGTTGGGCGGTAGAGAACAAGTGGTGAAGATCCCGCCATGCCATCCTGACACCCCCCCTCCTGTGTCCCCTCCATCATCCGAGGTTGTCTGAAGGAATCAGGAGCCCTGAGAGCAATGTGGAATCTGCAGACCAGGAATCAGACTCCTGGGCTCATCCTTCCCGCCAACATTAAAACTACATGTGCTAAAGACTCTATTACTGTGGTCTAAGATTGTGCACAGAAAAGAGAATCCAAATGCAAAATTGTGGGATCAGAAGAAACTTGGGCTTAAAGTCAGCATCTGCCATTTACTGACTTTGAGACCTTTGGCAAGATCACCTCTCTAAGCCTCCACTTACTTATTCATAAAACAGGGTTATAAATCTAACCCTGGCAGGGGGGCTGTGGGAAGCACATGAGATAACACCTCTTGTGTGACAGCTCTTTGTAAAATCAAAGCCTTCTGCAGATGTGGCACTTAGCCCCCGGCAGACTGCCATTAGCAGCACCATCCTAGTCTCTATCCTATAGAGAGACTGTACAAGTCAAGGCTAACAATCGCTCTCAAAAATAAACAAAACCCTTGTGTTTTATCTCGAAACAGAGAGCATTCACTCTCTCTTACCTGTAGCTCAAAGGTCTAGGAGTGGCAGGGAGGCTGGATGACCCAGGACAATCCAATCCAAAGGGAAGCCCCAGAAAGCTCCAGGGTGGAGAGGTGGGAGTCCGGCAGCTGGAGCCCTGTGTCCAGTGTTGGGTCACGGGGAAGAGGACGGTAAGGACGAAGTGCTGTGGGTTGATATCCAATGTCCGCAATGGAAGCTTCTCCCTGTGCTGTCTGGCAAGCTTTGAAGCCTGCTGGCCACTTTTATACCTTTCCTCCAGTCATCAATTACTGTCACGAGGGCCAAAAATAGCAGTGCTCAGGAAGGCACTCTGAGGAAAACAGTGTGACAAGCGGGCGGGGCCTGGCCCAGCTGCCAGCCTGGATCCTGTGTTTGTGCCTGTGGGAGGGTGGAGAGTGTGTACACTGGAGGGTGGGGGCAGGGTGGCCTTCACTCCTGGACACCTCCGTGTCCTTGGAGAGTCAGGGGGCTCCACGGATTCCCATAGCCAGACCCAGGGGCCCAGAGTCTGCCACCTGCTTTGTATTATATCAGTAGCCTGTGACCCTCCTGGTGTTGTGGTCATCCTTGCTGAGTGCTGGACCTACCTCTGTGAGGTGGGGCTGGCCAGGTCCTCAGGCATCAGCCATGCAGAGCCCCAGCCTGGAGGCTTCCTGGGCCTACCCCAAGGTGAGGTAGATCCACCTTGGACTGGGACCCAGGGCAGCCTGCTGGAAGTCTGATCCTAATCTTGCAACATCCCAGATGAGGTATTTTTAAAAGCGAATGTGTTTATTTACTTGTTCACTAAATACATAGTGTTACTGTGTGCAAGAAACTGCTTTAAGTTCAGTAAACATAGCCATGGACAGTCATGGCCCCCTGGAGCTTATATTCCAGGAAGAGAGGCAATTAGGTCATCTGTCAACAGATGTTGTGACTTCAGGTATCCATGAGAGCTGCAAAGAAAAGAATAGCAGTGACATGGGACAGGGTGGCAGACTACGCTGTAAGTAGAGCAGTCAGGAGTATCTTCCCTAAGAAACAACATTGATGTAGAGACTTGAAAAATGTGGCAGCACGGGCAAAGACCCTGCCATATGAGTGTGCTCCACATGTTCAAGGGACATGATGCCTGCCCCTATGGGAGGTCATAGGATCTTAGCCTGGACACTGGGTTTCCCACAGAGGCTGATGGAAGGACAATGCAGGGTTTGAACAGGGTCCTACAGTTGGACTTCTGCTCTGGCTTCTGTGTCCGGATTATAGGGGGTGGCTACTCGGAAGGCCAGGGGGCACCTGGGCAGCATTGAGAAGTTAGTGGGGGCTTCCAGGACAGGAAGTGGCTGAGGACAAGGTGGGCAAGCCCTGGGAAAGGTCTTGGTAAAGAATCTGCACTATGCCAGCTCAGACAGGCCCCTAGGTTCTCCACCCCAGCCTGAGCCCACCTGGAACACCCCTGTCCTCAGTTGGGGGAGGAAGAGGAGTCCTAGAAGGGAGAGGGCTCCCCAGTCCTGAGATCTTGGTCTCGAGTTCTTGCTTCCAAGTGGGCAAAGGTGTGAGGCACCTGTGAACGGTGAGCAGGATTTCAGTGCAGCGGGGCAGTCACCCCCTTGGCGGTTCTTATATCTGAAGGTTTCCATCCTTTGTCTGTTTCTCTGGCACTTCGTTGGATTTATTAGTAATTAGTTAATTAGTCAAGAGAATGAACTGAGGAGGAAAGAGTTGACTGGGACACAGATTTAGAGGGCCACAATAACTTTCTGGTATGTGAAATTTGAGGCCTTTCTGAGGTTGGTCTTACCATCAGAATCAAGAGACACATCTCCTGCCTCTGCCTGCCGGCACTTCTACTAGCAGATTAACCTAGTAGAATCTGCTCTGGCCTTAGTTTTTCATCGATGTTATCAGAGATAGCTTTAGGCTAATAGGGCCTCCCATCCATGAGGATGGATCTAGAAAGAGGGGAGGGTATATCCATGGTGGATGAGCATGTTGGGAGCACAGGACACACACGGGTAGGGACATCCAGCATGGTCCCATCCAGTCAACCCATACCTTGCCTCCTCCTTCATTGCAAGATCCCCAGATTGTCCTCCCTCAAGGAAAAGACTTGGCTGTCCAGCCCCACTGCCTGTCCGAGCTGTGCCTTTTCCTCTTCCTAGAGTGGGGTAGGCATTCCTTCCTCATTGAGATGCTGACTAAACTCACTCCTCTCCCCTCCAGCAACCTCCAGGACCTCTTCTGGTCTTGGGCAGTG